ATGGTGACGTGTTCAATACTTATTTTACCCGCTGTATGTATCGTAACGCCAAATTCTTGCCAATACACAGCCCTAGTTGAAAGCTCTACTTGCATCAACAAAGACATCAAACAAAAACCCACAATTCCACAGTAAACAAGAACATCTGACACCAGTCCACCCAGCTGCAGGCCGTGTCTCTGTCGACTCACTGATCACAACGGACACGGACTGACTGCGCGTGCCTACGCCGGCGCTCGTCACCGCCGCCACCTCCACCTGGTAGAGCAGTCCGGGCGTCAGGCCGATGAGCACCGTGGACAGTGTGTTTCCATCCACGGTCCTGTTGATGTAGTAACGTGTCTGGTTGTCTCTGCCGCTGCCGACACACCACACCTGTTGGGACACAGAGACCAGGGAACTTTTCAGATTGATTTTAGTTTTTTTAACCATTTCTTTTTAATCTTAAACTTCCCTTCAATAAACATGTCCTACTGTAGTAAATTACAGTATATCTATATTTAATTTATTTAGTGTGAAACACTATAAAAACTAAATCCTGGGCTCATCTTAAAGATGTTTAATTGCTCAAACAGCATGAAAACATCTTCCTTGTGTTCCAGTTGTCCGGTCTTGTTGTGTAGGACTTGTTGCCATCAGATAAACCCTGCTAACATGTCTGGAAGCGTGACTCGTCTGGGGTGTGTGTGTTTACCCTGTACTCCTGGATGACACCATTCTGCATTTCGCTGGGTGGAGGACCCCAGGAGACGTTGATGCTGGAGCTGTTGCTTGGCTTCACTGTAACGTCCCTGGGTGCAGCACTGGGGACTGACAACAACAGGAAATAACATCAATGTCTTTACATCATTGTGTTTCTCATATTAACAACCATTGAAAAACAGAATTCCTGTCAAAAGGATCAACTCTGAGTATAACACTAAAAAAGTACATTTCAGACTACTGTTTGAATACAACAAAAAAGTAAAACATAGCTGGCAACATTATTTTCTAAAATTATTAATGAAAATATTAATAAAAGTAAAGTAGTTTTCATCACAGTTGACAGAATTATAAATCCACTCTTTTGATGCCAGTCATAGAAAAATGTGAGCTTTTAACTTCACTGTTTTAATG